TAATCCAACTAGTGAGAACAACATATATGCTCACTAGTGTTGAATCAGTTATCCATTAGTGAGAACAATCGTGCACTGCTAACTGGCAATGTATCAGTAATCCAACTAGTGAGAACAACATATATGCTCACTAGTGTTGAATCAGTTATCCATTAGTGAGAACAATCGTGCACTGCTAACTGGCAATGTATCAGTAATCCAACTAGTGAGAACAACATATATGCTCACTAGTGTTGAATCATCAATCCCACATTGGGAACACCATGTAGATCTTAGTAGTATTATATCAGCATTTTAAAGTTGAGAGCAGTATAGTGGAGTAGTAGTCTAAAAGTGAGAACAATTGCTTCGTGCTCACTGGTAATGTAGGTAATACATCAGTAATACAATTGTGAGAACAATCGTGTAATACGTACTGGTGATGTATCATTATAATTCCAACAGCAAGAACGGCAAGTAGTCTCCTCTGGTGAAAAAACCAAGTAGTGTATCAGTAGTCTAACACAAGTAGTGTATTAGTAGTCTAGTAGTCCAATATTAGTGAAGTGCCCTCTTATGTTGTTTCAGTAATCCAACAATGAAAACATCAAGTAGTGCCCCTGGTGTTTAATCACAAATTCAACAGTGAGAACTATAATGGAGTGCTTGCTAGTGTTGTATTAGATGTTTATCAGTGATTACAGAATGTATAGTGTTGTATCAGTACTGCAACTCTGAGAAGAGTATGTATTACTAATAGGTGTGGTAACAGTAAGAACATTTTGTTTCGTGTCCACTGGTGCTGTATCAGTAATCCAGCAGTGAGGACATTTTGTGTCGTGTCCACTGGTGTTGTATCAGTAATGCAACTCTGAGAAGAGTATGTATTACTAATAGGTGTGGTAACAGTAATCTAACAGTGAGAACATTTTATGTCGTGTTTAGTAATACATACTCTTCTCAGAGTTGCATTACTGATACAACACCAGTGGACACGACACAAAACGTTCTCACTGCTGGATTACTGATACAACACCAGTGGACACGACACAAAACGTTCTCACTGCTGGATTACTGATACAACACCAGTGGCAGGTGTGGTAACAGTAATGGTTTTCTACCTAGACCAAAAATTCGAGCGCTTTCGAATAGTTCACTATTCTTCTTCAGGAGAACAAAGGGTCTCGTTTGAAAACCATGTAGTTCTCACTGGCAGTGTATCAGTAATCCAACAATGTTAACAGCATGTAGCGTTTACTGGTGATGTATCAGTAATCCAACAATGTTAACAGCATGTAGCGTTTACTGGTGATGAATCAGTAATCCAACAATGTTAACAGCATGTAGCGTTTACTGGTGATGTATCAGTAATCCAACAATGTTAACAGCATGTAGCGTTTACTGGTGATGTATCAGTAATCCAACAATGTTAACAGCATGTAGCGTTTACCGGTGATGAATCAGTAATCCAACAATGTTAACAGCATGTAGCGTTTGCCGGTGATGAATCAGTAATCCTACAGTGAGAGCAGCTTGTGGTGCTTATTAGTGTATTAGTTATAACTTCTAGTTCCCACTGATGTTTTATCAATAATCTAATAGTAAGAACAATCGTGCATTTCTCATTGTTATTGTATTAGTAATACAACAGATAGAATAACGTGTATTGCGTATTATTTTTGTATTAGTGTTCACACTTTGAGAACAGGCTTTATTATTTACTTGTGTTATATCAGTAATCCAACCCTGAGAACAGCATTTAGGGTTCACTGGTGTTGAATGACTTGTCCAAAAGTACAAACATGTTTAATTAGGAAATGATTATAAACATCGAAGAACAATTTCTTGATCTTGTAAACCAAAAGTTAGACGAAATCTATTCACTGGTTTTTATCAATAGCTCTGGTGACTGAAGGAGCTGTTGTTTGTCATATTTCGCTTAAAGTCACTCGAAAGCTACCTACCCTAGACGTTCTAGAAGTGATAGATTAGAGGGAATTCAAAGAATCTATGAATACATAATAATGAAGTTATTGTTTTTTATCCTGGGTAACGTAGAGAAAATAAGTAATCAACAGTGTAAGCAAAATTTATCTTATATATATATTGTAATAATGAAATTCAAGTAGTAAACTTACTTGGTACTTTCAAGCTCAAAGGAAGCAGTCACCAAACGTTTCAAGTATTTTCTGGCTATCTGATAAATTGTGATCTGTGCAGGGTTTCCCTATAAAACAAGCTTATTTAACAGCCGTTTTCACCGCTCATCCTTTCAGCGCATGTAACCAACAGTGCGCAAAGACACGTTTCTTCGCGCATGGTGAAGTATTATTGGCTTGGTACCATTTATTGAGGGATACGTAGAGAGATAAAACACCTTAAAATTGTTAAAAACAACTAAAAAAAAACACCAATAAAAGTAGAACCAGTCCGATTATTGCAGTTTCACCTTTCACAAACAATGTTTTCTATTCAAGAATCTCTAAAGGAGGTGTTTTGGAATGTTCTTTTTTATTTGAAATGATACAGAATTTAATTAAAAGAAAGTCTTTTGAAGATCCTTCTAGTACAATATTAATCTCATTATAATTAATTACGTCACCGCGAAGACCTTTAAGATGTTCGTGGAATTAAAGTTATAATGCGACGTAGAGCGAATTTTACATCATTTTTAATTATAAAAAATACTTCAGCTTACTATCATTGGCCAAGTCAGAGTCCCTTAAAGTTAAAACATTCAGCAGCGCCCACCGTCTATTTATGCTGCTAGTCTTAACCGAATAGTGAGACTGGTTCTTAGAGTTTTAACACTCAAAGAGCTGAAAATTAAAATATTTTGTTCAGCGGTGTAGACTTAATCGAACATTTGATCTTGCAATCCGCAGCTTATTAAGCTAATAACTTGGCTCAGCACTTGAGAGAGAACATGTTTAGTACAATGATTAAGAAAGATTCGTTTTTGATGTTTATATACAACATAAAAATGAAAAACAATAAAATAGTTATATAATATGCATTTAATTATACACCATTTATTAATATTAAATACTTCAGATTTGGTTAAAGCCTAAACACATATGTCAGTTGCTTTGTTTCGTTCAGTATCAAGAGAAGCATACGACACTTTGCAACTTTCGTTAGCTTTTATTTTTTAAATAATTTCCAGTTTTTTGCAAGAAATCCTGCCAGCACACTTCTATTTTACTATTAGTTTTAACGATAAAATAGAAAGACTTGTAATAACTTAATAACTGTTTACTGCTATACAAAACTGCAAACTTCATTTTGTATGCTACTGGATACCTACCAACTGACAGAATGACAGACTTTTGATGTCAACTTTTCCTTGTCCAAAAATAGAATATCAATACATTTTCATTTTAAATTTGCCGTTGTTCGCATAACTTATCGCAAAAAAACAACAACATAATTATGTAGGTATGTATATAATTTTAATTCTTAACCAGAAAATATTAGTAACACCATTTGCTTTTATGCCATAAACACTACGCCAAATTAACTATTAAATTAACATGAAATAATTTCTTAGTGAAGTAATGATGTTCAAATATATGTTAACATTTTAAAATAAAAATGCATTATTTTTAGTTGCAATATTAAAAGATTTTTTAAATGGTATTATTTTGTCCAAAATAAATAATCAAGTCATGCGGATAACTTATGGCATGCTAGTAAAACTAATAACAGAAGAATAAGATGTCATGCTAGTAGAATTAATAACAGAAGAATAAGATGTCTTGCTAGTAAAACTAATAACAGAAAAATAAGATGTCATGCTAGTAAAACTAATAACAGAAGAATAAGATGTCTTGCTAGTAAAACTAATACCAGAAGAATAAGATGTCATGCTAGTAAAACTAATAACAGAAGAATAAGATGTCATGCTAGTAGAATTAATAACAGAAGAATAAGATGTCTTGCTAGTAAAACTAATAACAGAAGAATAAGATGTCTTGCTAGTAAAACTAATAACAGAAGAATAAGATGTCTTGCTAGTAAAACTAATACCAGAAGAATAAGATGTCTTGCTAGTAAAACTAATACCAGAAGAATAAAATGTCATGCTAGTAGAACTAATAACAGAAGAATAAAGTTTGGAATAAAAACTTGGGGGAATGAGTTAGAACAGTCCTGAAAAAAATTTAGAGAAGGAAACATAAAATTAATTATATAATTTTATTTTTAAACCTGCGTGCAGATTGGCCCTGTGGAGAGTTATCGATATCGGAGCTGGGGAGCAGGATTAGAATCCCCGCATTTTAAACTGTGGCTGGTTGGGTGTTTCTGACTGTGTTTGCCTTTTGGTTCAAAATTAGGGACGCAGCAGATAGCTATAGTAGTGTTGCCATAACTACAAATTATTTTTAAATCACAATGTTTTACCCAGTTTTCTTCTGCAGTTGATGTCATATACGCTACTTGTACTTATAAAACAAAAAATACTGTTGTGTATGATTGTTCATCTGTTGTTACAAGCGTATAAGAATCCCTACATTGGCTAAAACTGGATATCGATACTTGTGGTGGACACAGCACAGATAACTATTGTGTAGCTTTGTGTTTAACACTCCCCCTCCCCCTACATTGGCTAAAACTGGATATCGATACTTCTGGTGGACACAGCACAGATAACCTATTGTGTAGCTTTGTGTTTAACACTCCCCCTCCCCCTACATTGGCTAAAACTGGATATCGATACTTCTGGTGGACACAGCACAGATAACCTATTGTGTAGCTTTGTGTTTCACACTCCCCCTACATTGGCTAAAACTGGATATCAATACTTCTGGTGGACACAGCACAGATAACCTATTGTGTAGCTTTGTGTTTAACAATAAAAAAAAATAATCAAGTTTGACTGAAGAAGTGAAAAATATTTGTTTATGATATATTTTCAGTTGCTCGAGAGAAGATGAAGGTTTTTCAGAAATTCCTGAAATATTTTGTTTTAAAGGACAAACAATAAAAGAATAGATAACTGGTGAGTTATAGCCTGGCTAGATTTCGCTGATATTTGGCCAAAGCTTCCAGCCACGTCAGCGTCGAGAAATGTCAAATTTATGCATATCCGCAGACTGCAGTATTCGGTGAAATTCCATGTAAAGGTGAATAAACCAGCTAGACAAATATTCAACATGATTCAGAAGCAAAGAACGAGACTAATGGTGTACCACTTCCGGTTTGGTTCAATAACTTCCCCAGAAAGAGTTAACTAGCGGAACGGTTGTAAATGTCGCAAAGCTATTTCTTTATTCTTTAGAATAATTTGAGAATTAAAATATGATAACTTATTATTATTATAGCGATTCTATATATTGTATATACTTGTATTTTCAATCTTTGCTCTAGTATTGTATAAATAGTATTTCACTATTTGTGAATGTTTTTCTAGATCTAAAATCATTCCTAATCACTCGCGAAAGACTTTTTGTAAAGCCACCATGAAGATCCACTCATTCTGTAAAAGTGTTGTAGAATCCACGTGCAAGTACATAAGAAAAGTAGCCATGCTTCACGAGTTGTTTTTTTTTTTGTTTATTTCAAAATTCAAAGTGAGAAAAAACATCTTTCACATAAAATATAGATTATAACAATAATCTTATCATTGTTTGTGCATGTATTTTTCCTGATATGCATTTAGATATGAGCTAAATGTTTGTCTCATTATTATTTTTGTTTGAAAGTCAAGATAAACGCCAAGGTAAATCCAATTTCCTATATCCAACCATTGAAATAATTTTTACTTTCTTAACAAAATATTTCTAAGTTATAAATCATGTCATAGAATGTTTTTCATATTATTCTTTATTTTAAATATCAGGCTATTAATTTGTTGGTATTTACCAGATTTTACCTAAAATATAAGTGTCTAACACTTGGTGCTGATTTTTAACCATATTCTACACATACACTATGGCAAATAATATATTAATACAAGTGTGAAAAACTTTAGTCACATTTGCTAAACCAATTACGTTATAGAATTGAAAGTGTATTTAAGTACACGTAGTTATGTAGATAACACCTCTAGTGGCAATTTATTGAACTTTGTGGTGCACGCGCTGTGCTGTAAGGCATAAAACGTTTTACGTGCATATAAGATCGATTATCATCTATCAGGATTGTTAAACAGTTCAAAAGACACCGTATAATTTTAATTCGCCCCCAAATGGCACAGCGGGATGTTTGCGGACTTACAACGCCAGAAACCGGGTTTCGATACCCGTTGTGAGCAGAACACAGACAACCCATTGTGTAGATTTATGCTTATACTAAGAAACAAATTACATGAATTCAAAATTTTTCTGCTGTTATCTTGATGAGTTATTAAAAGTAAGAGTGGATTTAATTTTAATAGACACGAAACTTACCAACATTGAAAGTTTCAAGAACACTTTAAAGATACTGTTAGATCTGTAACTATAAAGGGACTTCACTTCAACAGTAGGATATACATATGTTAGTTCTATAACTATACACATACTTCACTTCAACAGTAGGATATAAATATGTTATTTCTATAACTATACGCGTACTTCACCTCAACAGTAGGATATACATATGTTAGTTCTATAACTATACACGTACTTCACCTCAACAGTAGGATATACATATGTTAGTTCTGTAACTATACACATACTTCACCTCAACAGTAGGATATAAATATGTTAGTTCTATAACTATACGCGTACTTCACCTCAACAGTAGGATATAAATATGTTAGTTCTATAACTATACGCGTACTTCACCTCAACAGTAGGATATAAATATGTTAGTTCT